CATGTCATAGGTCTCCTTTCATTCTTAATTTTACTTTTTTTTGTTGTACAGAAGGGAGTGAGTTAATACTTTTGTTCATAAACGCTTTATACATATGATAAATATGTTTCTATATTGCAATTTCTATTATAGGAGTCCACTTCAGTGTGCATGCAATATATACACGGTAAATTAACTCTTGGATTGAAAATTTCCAAAAAAGAATAACTATAGAGCATTCTGGAAAATACTAATTGTTCAGATCCTAGTGTGAATCCTCTCGCTCCAAAAACGCCTTCACCCAGTGCCCAACGGGACGACAGTAATGGCATAGGTGTGCTTTCATTCTTTTTTTTACCTTTCATATATAGAAGACTGCAACGAACAGCATTAAATCGCTGTGTCATTGATGCTTACTTTCTTTCTCTCCTTCACAATCCATGCATCTTGAAAAGAGCAGATACTTTTGAGCTGAGTCAAATTCCACATTTTATATGGAAGGATAAAAGTTTCTAAAAAGGTTTTTTTACTTGTAGCAATTTGATATTACTGGTATCCCCTTGCATATTGGCTATTTTATGTAAAAGAGACCTTCTTTACAGTAATACACATTCGCGCGCTTACATACAGATTTCTACCACTAGAGACCACCGGTGACTTTTATTTGAAAAGCTCAGAGAAATGTTCCCACACAGAGAAATGCTCCCATCATTTGTTTTTAGTACTCTTTTGAACTCAAACTTTTCCGATCTTAAGGTTCCATCTGAAGGCTGGTTTTAGCTCAGACATCTAAATGTGAAGGGATTTCGTATCCCAAGCGTTTACGTTAGAATTACAGTAGTTGTTGGTGGCTCGAATGTTTGCTGAGCAGTTGCCAAGGTTTTTATTTAAAATAACCTTGCTATGAAATGGTTACCATATTTGGCCAGTGCATCTATCATCTTCGTGTAGCTGAAGCCACCTACAACTTCTCGCACTCTTACGGGCAAAGGTAAGAGACCCTTTATGAATGAAAATCCGTGTTAAACTATCCCTTTGTGAACCTCAAGTCCAGAAAAGATTTTGGAGTAAAAGAATTGTTCTGTTCAAACAATACGCACATTTTTGGGGACACCTTCGGCCTACTCCAACAATTTGGAAAGAGCTGCGTTTTTATAAAAAAAGCTTTTTATTTATTACAAGCAACCAATATCGGTATACGACCTAGTTAGACTTATGTTTCAAAATGTTCGTTTTCGCCAAAGCCCGAAAAATGAGAACAGATAAGATTTACTCTTAAACGTCATATCACCCAAAGTACTTGAAAATGGGGTTAAAATACGCATTCATATAACCGGCAAAATTCTAAAAAATTCTGTGAAGGTAGCCACGAGAATCCATTGCCTGTAACTGATGAGGAGCTTCCGAGACACCCACAGAGGAACCCAGCCTCTACAAGTAATCAATGTGAGATTGAGATCGAACCTGGTACGTTTACATTCACTCAGTCCTTTGGAATTTTATTGGATCATCGAAGGTAAAGCGCTTAGGTAAGCTTCTTTAATGTTCCTAAGCTTTTCAGGCTTTCAGGTTTCGCTACATAAATGTTTCCAAGCATTTCTTCGAGGGTTGAATAGCGATAGAACATACTTTACCAGGTGGTTTTCACCAACCTACCTGTTCTTCGATTGCTTCAATGCTAATAAACCCTCACAACTAAGAGGTTTCTGGAAACATTACTGTACGCGGCTATAGCATTTTATATGGAGAATAATGAAAAGGAGTCCGCATGGGAATCAAATTATTATAGAATTATTGAAGTTGGAGATTAAATTTTTATATCCGTTTTAACAGAAAATATGCTTAGATTGCGTCTGTTGACGTGACTGACGCAACTTCTTATCGGCACATTCTCGTTCGTTTTCGGAGAAATTTTCTTATTACTTTGCGATAGTGGTGAGACTTCTTTCAACTGACTGCTTGGTCTTAAACATTCTACTTTTATAAATCTTTTGTCAGGTAAATTCTTATATGCAAATTCGGTTCTGGTACAGGGTTTGCTGCATGAAAAAATGAAAATTAAAACGTTTTAAAAACTATATTATCAGAATATTTTTGAAACATAGCTTCAGTGGCTCAAATTGAAATAAATCATACGATATTATTTTAACGAGTTGTTTCTGTTCATTTAATATAATTTTTATTAGATTGTTATTGTAGAGCTACGTGCAAACATATGAA